TTTAAATAAATGTAAATATTTGACGTCAATTTGACGTTAATTTAAGATGTTGGCTTGACGTTGGATTTTTGGTCACTTTCCAACATGATCAAATATCTGACGTTGTTTGATTGGATGTAAAAATAACGCTGTACTTAGGTGCTGAGTAGATATTGAATTTCGGTTAACTGATGTGATGACCTAAATATAACCTAATATTACCATGGTATGATGTTGTGATTTTGCCTTTTGTATCTGCCTTGTTTGTATGTGGATTTTCATTCATTCATTGAAATTTTCATTCATTCATTCATTCATTTTCTTGTCGGCTTAGTCCCTTTATTAATCCGGGGTCGCCACAGCGGAATGAACCGCCAACTTATCCAGCAAGTTTTTACGCAGCGGATGCCCTTCCAGCCACAACCCATCTCTGGAAAACATCCACACAAACATTCACACACACACTCATACACCACAGACAATTTAGCCTACCCAATTCACCTGCATGTCTTTGGGCTGTGGGGGAAACCGGAGCACCCGGAGGAAACCCACGCGAAGGCAGGGAGAACATGCAAACTCCACACAGAAACACCAACTGAGCCGAGGCTCGAACCAGCGACCTTCTTGCTGTGAGGCGACAGCACTACCTACTGCGCCACTGCCTCACCTACCAAATTTTCAATTTAAATAAAAAATAAATACAAACTTAACCATTCACTGCCAATTATCAGGAAATGTTCATCTTTGGGTGAACTATCACTTTAAGACTGTTTCCAGAATCATGAAGACTTGCGTTTATCTATGCTATTCACTCTAGATCACTTATTTAATCTTTATAAATATTTGAAACATTTGAACTCGGTTTAGTTTGGACACAAAAAATAAATCTCAATCGGTGTTTATAAAATAATGGAAGACTCAATGAGCAGTTTTGGGTGAATTACACAAACATCTATGCAGTACAAATCTACATTTTTGTGATGCAGTTTACTCTCTGGCACATCCTACCCCACCCTGCCCTATGGTATTTAAATCTTTATAGGTTCTCACATAGACAGTTTTTTTCTAAACATAACATTTACTTGACAACAGAATCAAAACAGAATCCCCACTGCTGCACAAAAAGAAGGAGAAAAGCCTTGCTGAAATAGCCATAAAACATCACTGGAAAAATCCTTTAGATTTATAGTCGGAGCACATTTTTTAACATGACAGATTATCCACAGTTGTATAAAACTTCAGTGAGTACTTAATTGGACAATTACTTTGGGTAAAACCACTACATAGCTTCAGCAGTGCGATCTGAGCAGGATTGTCAACACTCAGTAGTCCGCTTGTTTTCAAATGTTACAGCTTTTCCAGTAACAACATGTTTGTTCTAACAATTAGCGGTATAGCATGTGAAGATGGTACAATACTGTTTTTATAGCGCATTGTTTTGTATGTGCAGCTTTAGAGCTAAGCAAAACTACAAAAAATGTACTTGCACGCACTTCCCAGAAGGCTCTTTGGTTCCAAGTCCAAAGACATGGTACAGGTGAATTGGGTAGGCTCAATTGTCCGTAGTGTGTGTGAATGAGTGTGTATTGTTGTTTCCCAGTGATGGGTTGCAGCTGGAAGGGCATCCGCTGCGTAAAACATATGCTGGATAAGTTGGCGGTTCATTCCGCTGTGGCGACCTCAAATTAATAAAGGGACTAAGCCATGAATGAATGAAATGAATGAAAATGCCACACATGTAATGTTTTAGAACTCTTTGTATCCATTCGAAGCCATTTTTGATGACTGTCGCTTTAAATTCAAATGGGACTGTGCACTTTTCAAATGAGGGCGGGGCTAAAGATGCCTGTGTGTCAGCATAGTGGCAGATTCAAAACTAATAATGGATGGCTGCTTCCCATTTAGGGCTTTATATGCTAATGAGGGAGAGATCAGACACGTGGATTGGGTGCTTGAGCACCTGTCCTTTTTTGCTCCTCAAAATGAAAGTGCCCCCGCACCACCCCAACACCCCCTGTTCGTTCTTCACGATCACCCCCCGCCCTTCACTTTGTGAAGCATCCCTCCCCCTTTTCACTTTACGAACACCCCTTCCCTATTCACTTCGCAATCACAACCCCCCCCATTCTTCACTTCGAGATTACAACACCCACAACTCCCCCATTCTCTCGTTCTTCACTTCGCAAACAGCCACTCCACCCACCCCTGCAGTTCGCAATCACCAACCACCCCCATCACTGCCACTCTTTACTTTGAGATCACCCAGCTCATTCTTCACTTCGAGCACCTGCCCGTCAAAAGGTCTCTGCACGGCAATGGGAGAGATGGTCACTAGTGGGCGGGGCCTTCATCTGACATGTACAAAGGGAGAATGTCAATCAAAGTGTTTCTGCAGACTGTTTTTATCAAGTCTGATTAAAACAAATTTAAATTCATTCATTTTGACCATTAATAGCTGGTTATATGCACACACTGCTGCCACACAGCTGTGTAAACCTCTTATAATAGTGACTTTTGCATAATAGGTCCTCTTTAAACTATTAGTAGCTTATAACTTGGAAAGATGATGTTTCAAAAGTACCTCAACACTGGCTTTATATCACGTGATGTGACACTTGTGGCGCCTTGTTTTTATCATATTGATGAAGTAGCAGCGACAGTTTGACAGCTTTATTATTGCCCGTTGGTCATTTTCAGCCGAAACTGACTGGCTGGCGTTCATAGTAATTTGTACCTCCTGATTCCCTGTGAGAAATCTGCCTCAAATGTTGAGGCGGACTGAAATGGGAGCAATTTGTTTAGCCGAAGAGCTTCCCATTTGCAGAATCGTGTTTAGCAGCGGAGATATCCAACACCGCTCAGAAGTTTAATTGCATTTCCATCTGTGTGTGTGTGTCGTCCTCTGCGAGTTGCGTTAAGGATATTTTCAAGGTCACACACCAAGAACAGGCAACTAAATCCCACCCAAGAGCTCAAGAATCACCCTCAACGGTCCATTAAAAGAGCTCAGATGTGTTCTGGTCATTACAGTCATACACGGAGCTGGTCTGTCAGCAAACGTTTCGCTTTGTGGTTACTAAACACTATTCGTGAGACTGAAAGGTAGACATTTGAAAGGTGATGTTTCGAGCCTAAAAGGGCCTTGATGGAGTTTCTGACTGGTTGGATTTCTTTATTCAATGAAATACTGAAGATATTTTTGCCAATGTTCTTTAAAGTGTGTTTTGTGATTAATTGACTGATGCTATTTATGTCTTGAAGTGACAGAAGGGGAAGTAAATGATGACAGAATTCTTATTTTTAGGTGGTTATAGGTTTAAAGCATTGCATACACTGCGAAAGAATTGTCTTGTTTCAAGTCGAAATATCTAAAGATTCTAGTAAAAAAATAATGAGTTTTTCCTTAAAACAAGTGAAAGGAGGACCAGAAGTGACATAAAAAAAGTTTAATAAGTGAAGCATAAACATGGATTTTAATAAATCAAAATTTAAATGGACGTAAAATAGATATATTCATTCATTCATTCATTCATTCATTCATTCATTCATTCATTCATTCATTCATTCATTATTTCATTCATTCATTCATTCATTTTCTTTTCAGCTTAGCCCCTTTATTTATCAGGGGTTGCCACAGCAGAATGAACCCCCAACTTATCCAGCATATGTTTTGCACAGAGAATGCCCTTATAGCTGCAACCCAGTACTGGGAAACACCCATACACTCATTCACACCCATACACTGCAGCCAATTTAGTTTATTCAATTCTATAGCGCATGTGTTTGGACTGTGGGGGAGCGCCCGGAGGAAACCCACGCCAACATGGGGAGAACATGCAAACTCCACACAGAAATGTCAACTGGCCCAGCTGGGACTCGAACCAGCGACCTTCTTGCTGTGAGGTGACAGTGCTAGCCACTGAGCGACCGTAACGTCTAGATATATTTAAATGTGTCTATTTAAATTGTGTTTCTAAATGTCATTTAATTATGAAATAAAACATTGCATTTCAAATATTTTTTTAATATAAATGAATATAAATTTCATATAAATTAAAATAATAAATAAATAGACAATTTTTTTTACCATTTATTTAATTTATGTTTTTAAACGCTGATTAATCAGATAGTAAAAAGGCTTATTAAAATGTGCATTTAAATGGTTTATCAATATAAATTTTTGCTGTTTGAGTAATCAGCATTTAAAACATGAATTAAATCAACAGTTATGAAATTGTCAGTTTATTTTTACGTTTATATTTAATATAAATGTATATTGCATTGTTTTATTGCTTTACTAAATAATGTTTTACTAACTAATTTCGAGAGGAGCACGTGATATGATTGATCGCAGCTGGTCCCTCATCTGTAATCATTCAGTAAACCAATCAAATTATTCCAAACTCACTATAAATAGCTTGATTAGTACTACTCCCTCATCTACGTTTTTGAAGAATCCCCATCCACCCTATCTCCTTTCCTCCTTTACCAGGGGGCGCTCTTGAGAACTACCTGATCTCGTACTCCCCTTACATGCTCATTGACCAGGCGGGAGCCCTGGGCTCAATTATCTCCAAGCACAGGGTTCTCTCCCGGGACAGCATGCCAAAACTGCTATTGAAGTAATAAAAACCGCAATATCGAAGTGTGAACTCTTGAAATGACATTTGAGAATAATATTTAATCAGACACATTTAAACATGTCAATTTATTTGTTCATTTTTATTTTTAGTCATTTATATGCATTGTTATGCTTCAATTATTAAATTAATATTTTGATCATTATAACTGGAACTCCTGCTCCCCCAAACTGCTTATGTGTGCGACTTTTCAAAATGCGCGAGACTTGAGTGTAATGGTCATGCATGTCCATCAATTGCATGGTTACAATAAAAAACAATGCACAAGTAGCGCACTGGAATGAAAAACAATGCATTCTGTTTGAATAAGCTCTAAAGTGTGCACTTATTGTTTTGAAGGTGTATGAATTATACACTAATTACATGTTGGTGCATTTTCAGGTTCATGAGGTGTTTGACTGCGACGCCTGTGATAAAAAGTTCATCTCCACCAATCAGCTGAAGAGACACATGATCACACACTCAGGTAAATTCACACACTAGTAAAGGTGATGATACACAGGCGACTTTACAAGCAACTTTTTCACAATATTACCCTTATTAGGCAACCAAATGAGAAACATGGCGACTATTTAGCGTTCTGGAGATTAGGCAACAGCCATTCTGCCACCACCATGCTATGCTGTAGGAATGGTATTAGCCTGGTGATGAGCGCTTCCTGGTTTTCTCCAAATGTAACACCTGGCATTCACTTCAAAGAGTTCAATTTGAGTCTCATTAGACCAGAGAATTTAGTTTCTTATGGTCTGAGAGTCCTTCAGATGCCTTTTGAGGCAAATTCCAGATTGGCAGTGGCTTCCATCTGGCCACTCTACCATACAGGGCTGATTGGTGGATTGCTGCACAGATGGTTGTCCTTCTGTAAGGTTCTCCTCTCTCCACAGAAGAACGCTGGAGCTTAGAAAGAGTGACCATCAGGTTATTGATCACCTTCCTGACTAAGGCCCTTCTCCCCCGATCACTCAGCTTAGATGGCCGACCAGCTCTAGGAAGAGTCCTGGTGGTTTCAAACATCTTCCACTTACGGATGATGGAGGCCGCTGTGCTTATCTGAATTTTCAGAGCAGCAGAAATGTTTATGTAACCTTCCCCAATCCTGTCTCGGAGGTCTACAGACATTAGCCCCTTTCACACATACAGATCTTTCCGGAATATTACCGGCAATTTTCCGGAAAGGTTGTATGTGTGAACAGGCCCTTTTTGAAAATACCGGTAAATTCGTTCTGGCTATTTTCCGGAAAGAGAAGTTGTAACATTACCGGCAATTTGCCGGAATGCTGCGCTGTGTGAATGCAGAAGGAAGATTGCCGGAAAGAGCGCGTCCACGTCTAGAACGTGCTGACGTGAGACGCCTGCTTTAGCCAATCAGAACAGTCGGACGCATTCACGTGGGCGCGGTTTATGAGAATAAAAACCTTTGAATATTTTTTCCAGACACATTTAGCTGCTAGATGTTAGTCAGATATGTTTTTATGTTCCTTCTTAATGCTAACTGTGTAAATAATTATCGATAAAATGTTTATGATGATCCGTTGTTTGTTTACCTTCAAGCTTTGCGTGTGCCCGTGAGCGCCCATAGCGCCAGCACACACACACATATCATGAACATCTCGACATGCGAAAGTGTTTCTCTATGTTTTCATTAGAGTTGTACTCAATACTGATCCATCGGAAGAGTTTGTAATGTAGTCAAATGTTTACAAACACAAGCGCAGCCGTTTAGAGCTCATTTCTGGTTAATGATGTCAGAATTTACCTGCATTTTGCGATGAATGTGTGAATGCTCTTTTTCGGAAAAATTCCGTAACGTCCTCGCCTGTGTGAACAGCGCTTTTTTGAATATACCGGTAAAGTCGTTCCGGAAATTTTCAGGATATTTACCAATATCACTGTGTGAAAGGGGCTAATTCCTTTGTCTTCACACTTGGTTTGTGCTTTGACATGCACTGTCAACCCTGGGCCCTTATATAGACAGGTGTACGCCTTTTCAGATCATGTCCAATCAGCTGAATTGAGCACAGGTGAACTCCAATGAAGCTGCTGAAACATCTCCAGAATGATCAGAGGACACAGAATGTACCTGAGCTCAATTTAGAGCTTCACACTAAAGGCTATGAATACTGATCTACATCTGATTTTACAGCTTGTTTAGTTTTATTAAATTTGCAACAACTTCAAAAACTAATTTTTCGCATTCTCATTATGGGGGATTGTGTGTAGAATGTTGAGGAAATAAGTTAATTTAATCCATTTTGGAATAAGGCTGTAACTTAAACAAATGTGGAAAAAGTGAAGCGCTATCAATACTTTCCAGATGCACTGTATGATCTTGTGTATGTGTGTGTGTGTGTGTGTGTGTGTGTGTGTGTGTGTAGAGAAGCGTCCGTACACCTGTGAGATCTGCAGCCGCAGCTTTAAGCGTCTGGATCAGGCCACGGCTCACAAGATCATCCACAGTGAGGACAAACCGTACAAGTGTAAGCTCTGCTGGAAGGAGTTCGCCCATCGCAACGTCTACAAGAACCATAAAAAGGTGTGTGTGTGTGTAAGTGTGTGCTGTCTTAAGAGTCCTGCATCCTGTGTTTCTGACCTCACAGTTTAATGTGATCGTTCACCCAATTAAGAAACCGGTCTTGTATGCACTCCACTCCCATCAGCCACACCCACCACAGCCACACCTCCATGGCAGCAGCCGCCCAAAACACGATTCGTAGTACAGTTACTAAAACCACTATACAAGTACTGGGAAACACCCATGCACGCTCATTCACACCCACACACACATACACCACGGCTAATTTAGCTTATTCAATTCCTCTATAGCGCATGTGTTTGGACTGTGGGGGAAACCGTAGCACCCAGAAGAAACCCATGCCAACACGGGGAGAACTTGCAAACTCCACACAGAAATTTTCTGTCACCATTCAAATTACTGTCGCCATTCACTGCTATTATATATACCGCCGATTCAGCTGAAAATCTTCTTTAATGATCTACTGAAGAAAAAAAAAAGTCACCAAGTCTTGGATGACCTGTGGGTGAGTAAATGAGCAGGACATTTTAATGTTCGGGTGAACTTTCTATCCTTCTAAAGTCAGCCGGAGATGCAGAATTAAACAGAACAGACAGATGGTTGGACAGATTGATCCCAAAGATTTTTTTTTTGTCCCAAATAAACCGCTGCCATCTTATCTAAACGGAGATCTGAAGCCCAATCAGGCACCGTGGAGCCTCATCAAACCCCTCAGACTAACCCTGGCCTGTGCTGACCCCGCGTGACTTCTGACCTTTACACCCTGCCGATAACATTAACCTCAAACCCCACACAGATCTCAGCCGGAGACTGTGTGAAACGCTTCCAGATCTGGACTGATAATAAAACAAAGGTCACTTTCTTGATAAAACATAGTGCGTTATGTTATAATTAGTGTTTCCATTAAGTACATTAATGCTGATTTATCCAAGGAAATAGTACTTTTAGTTTATTTTCCAAGTTTGGGACTGATGGCCTGTTCACAGAAATATGAGTATTTTCCAACCCAAGCTCATTGTGGAAACGTAGCCCCGCGGACGTTTCTGCGGACCGCGATTTACGTCCTGGGAGGTACGCATTCGAGCGTTTTTTGTTTTCGCTGATCCGCTCTCGCCGTTTGCGCCCGCGCCGTTCTCACGCGAAAAGCCGCCGGATCGGCCGACTCGGCCGCCCTCCTCTTCCTCCTCCTCCTCCTCCTTCCCTAAACCCGTGCGACGGTTCGCAAAAGCCGTCCAGAAAAAAAAAAAAAGCAAAACCCCTCGTCTTCGATTTCGAACGCGCTTTCGGATCCCGCCGCATTCTCGCCCTTATTGTTCGGATTCTGTTTTTCGTCTTACCAGATTTCCGGAACCGCTGTTCCCCGGACTAGATCCTGGTCGTCGTCCCCGCGGCCGGCTCCTCCTCCTCCTCCGCTCCGCCGACGCAACGCTGTGAGCTAAGCGGACAAACTGGTTGCATCGGGAAAGTCCTCCACTCGGAGGCCAGCCGTCGGCCGACGAGCGCGAAGAGGAGGGGAGTTCACTCCCCGCAGAGTTCACTCGAAAAAAACTAAACGCGGCCGTACGTACCTCCGGCCACGTAAATCGCGGTCTCCAGAAACGTCTGTGGGGCTACGTTTCCAGAATGAGCTTAGGTTGGTATTTTCTAAAGCTGGTTTTAGCTGGTCATCTCCCATCCTGACCAGCTAAAACCAAGCTAAAAATGGCTGGAAACCAGCCTGAAAGTGGCCAAAACCCCTCTAAAACCAGCCTGGCCGACCAGCTGAAACCAGCCAACCATCCTAGGCTGGTCTAAGCTGGATTTTTCAGCAGGGTTGTCAGCTCACTCAGAGTTCGGTTGTATTCTACATGCTGTAGAACTACAGGCCAGCAGGTCGCCACTCAAAGCGACAGACAGCTACAAAGTCACTGCTAGTGTGAATGAGGCATCTGGAAGTTAAATGCATTAGGAATTGTGCTTTATGTTGTTAAACCAAAGTTTTTCTGCTTTTCTGTAGACTCATTCAGAGGAGAGGCCTTTCCAGTGTGAAGAGTGTAAGGCTCTGTTTCGTACCCCGTTCTCTTTACAGCGCCACCTCCTCATTCATAACAGTAAGTGTGTGTGTATGTGTTTTTGTGACATATCAGGAAACAAATTTGCATGACAGGTGTATGACACAGGTATTACAAGAAGGTGGTGAATTACGAGGACACTGCTGACAATCTCATTTCGCTTTCTCAAAGTGAGCCGTATATATGTGTGTGTAATCAAAGGAGACTTGGAGCAGGTGTGTGAGTGTGTTGCATGACAAGACTTGTAGTTCATATTGAGACAGGGTTGTAGTCCGTGTAAATGTGAATGTTCTCCAGCGATCAATGAAGGTTAGATCGCTGGTGATCATGACAGTGAGTATTAATAGAGAACATTTCATTCATTCATTCATTCATTCATTCATTCATTCATTCATTCATTTTCTTTTTGGCTTAGTCCCTTTATTAATCAGAGGTCACCACAGCGGAATAAACTGCCAGCTTATCCTGCATATGTTTTACGCAGCGAATGCCCTTCCAGACGCAACCCATCACTGGGAAACATCCACACACACTCATTCACACCCATACACTACGGACAATTTAGCCAACCCAATTCACTTATACCGCATAACTTTGGACTTGTGGGGGAAACCGGAGCACCCATAAAAACTTAAATAATAATTAAAAAATAAATCAAATAATCATTTATTTACTCCCTTTATTAAAAGTGTTGCTAGAGTTTGATTATTTTCTATATTTGCTTATTGTTCATGCATCTTGTATGATAGTTGAGTGCTCAGATCTTCCCTTTAGTGTAACTTAATAAAGCAATAACCCCTGTGGCTTACTGTGAATCTACAGTATAATAGCTAAAGCCCCAACACAAAGTGGAACTGTTCTCAATTCATTGTAAACCACAGCATCATGGAGCTTACTGAGTTATAATACAGTTATTTCATACACATAATGAGGTTTCATAAATGAAAACAAAGCAAAAAACAACTTGTTTGTTCACTTGACAGTGAAATGGTTGAAAAGTCAAAGGTGTTTGTTTATGTGTAGAGTATTTTACAACAGCTGATTAGCCAATCAGAGTCAATGAAATATTAAATGAATAAATAATATATAATATTAAATAAAAATTTAATGAAAACTAAATAATTTGTGTATTTATATTTATATTATATTGTATTTATATTATATTTGTGTATTAAAAAAGTGTATTTTTTAAATTAAGCTCAACATCAGAACAAAGGGAATATTCATATTAACATTATTATGAATTAATAATTTTTATTGCACATATATTTTACTGGCCACTTTATTAGATACACCTGTCCAACTGCTTGTTAACACAAATTTCTAATCAGCCAATCACATGGCAGCAACTCAATGCATTTAGGCATGTAGACATGGTCAATTGACTTAAATCTTGTTGAGTCTATGCCACAAAGGATTAAGGTAGTTCTGTAGACAAAAGGGGGCCCAACCCTGTACTAGTAAGGTGTACCTAATAAAGTGGCCGGTGGGTGTATATTTTAAGTTCAGCCATACATTTAGCGATAGCGTCTGTGTACATATGAACAGTTTTCTATCCGATCAGCTCTGGAGTCCATCAGTTTGTGTCCTCGTAGAGGGGAAAGAAACTTTCTGTGCTTCAGTGTTCACTGATACTATCATCTGAAGTCCCTGATATCCCCCATCATCCAGTAATCCCCACTGTTCTGACTGGATCCTCCACTCCATCAGTGTTTACTGCTTTGCTGCAGTCGTGAGGGCTGTATGAGGTGTATGAGTAAATGTGAGCAGACTTTAGCTGAAAGTATTCTGACCCTGAGCACCACTGAACCCTGGGCTGTGTGTGTGTGTGTGTGTGTGTGTGTGTGTGTGTGTGTGTGTGCACGCGGGACGAATCTCAGCGCTGCTCTGCCCAGTCTAGAC